GAAGAGGGGAAGAGGAGACTTGACCTGATGTTCTCCGGGCTCCCAGGCTGGAGCACCTTCCCGGGTGTTTGGTAGAGCAAGACTGGTCTCGCTGGCACTCACAGAGCTCTGTGTGGCTACAAACCCAGCTGGCCCTGCAGAGTCAACAGCTTTTCACTGTAAAGGTCTTGGAGCTGGTTCTTGGTGTCTGGCACCGGATCTCAGCAAAGGCAGCGCCTTCCATGGGCACTGCCTTCTGCTGCCCTACGTGTCCCCAAGAAAGCCGCACAGGCAGCTGTAACTTAGAAAACAAATCGGGGAGGAGGGAAGGGGGCTATGTTGCATTTCAGGACCCCCTTGACCAAACAACCCCAATTCACATGGCTCCCTGTCCCAGCCCTCGGGCTCCCACACCAACTTGCTAACTGAAGCTGACATGCAACATCAGATTGGAAGTGGGGAGAAAATTGGGCTTTCAGCGGAAACGTTGCTGCCTCCTTTCCTGCCATGTCGCCACTGCTCCTCCTTAATAAACGAACCAGCCTGGGAAGGATGGGATTTCATTTTCATTAATGCATGGAGGAGACTTTTCCACTCCAATCTTCCAGCTGGTTTCTGGGTTTATCTACCCAGGAAACGTAGACAAATGGACCTCGTCCTAGCCTATCATCAGGGACTCCCCTCTCATCCCCACAAGCAGAGGAGCCCTACATGTTGCAGCAAGACTCTGCAGCGCTCTGGGGTACCAGGCCAGGGAGCCTGTGGCAGGTTCATTTAAATCAAAGTGCCAGGTTTTAATTAAATAGGAGGGTGAATAATGCAATCGGCAGAGCACTCTCTCATGTTATTTGGATATTAAATTGAATGCTTCTTACCCTGTGTCTCCCCATCCTCCAAACACACACACACATTCATACTGCACAGCCTAACTACACCGCAGCAATTGTCATGGGGTAACCAGGGAGGAAATTTAGCTGAATGTTTCTGCTACAATGACCAGCACTAAAATAGTTAATGTTGACAATTAATTTGTCATCTTTAGGATAGAGACTTAAACTATCTAGAGACATGAAGCAGCTCACCCGTCTCAGAGCGATTGTGTCAGGCTCTCTGCAAAGTCAGGCAGATGTTACTGAACACGTAGCACTCAGGGTACCTTGTCAAGGTTCTCTTCACAACCAGGACTAAAAAGGGTTAGTTTATTAAAAAGAAAGCTCAGATTCAGGAGAACAACCTGTGATACCTGCAGTCCGAGCAACACTGCAGCCATGCTGTCATGTGATACAGTCCTGCGTGCGCTGGCCTCCGGGCAACACTGCAGCCATGCCGTCACGTGATACACTCCTGCACGCGCTGGCCTCCGGGCAACACTGCAGCCATGCCGTCACGTGATACAGTCCTGCACGCGCTGGCCTCCGGGCAATGCTGCAGCCATGCCGTCACGTGATACAGTCCTGCACGCGCTGGCCTCCGCAACACTGCAGCCATGCCGTCACGTGATACAGTCCTGCACGCGCTGGCCTTCGAGCACAGCCACAGCGGCAGTCTGAAACATCTCTGATCATTCACTCTGACTTCCTGCATGGAGAGGCCAGACAACCTCACCCAGTGAACCCTGTATCAAGCTCAACAGCTGGTGGGTGAGTGACAGTAGATCTTTTAGCAAGAGACACCCAAACCTGCTGTAAAGACTCCAAGTGATCGAGAATCCACCACAACCCTGCTCCCATGGTTAATTATACTCACCACTAAAAATATGCACTGTATTTTCAGTCTGACATTGTCCAGCTTCAACTCCCAGCCTTGCTCTGCCTCTGGCTGCTAGATTAAAGAGCCCTTTGCTAGTGAAAGTTTCCTCCCCGCACAGGTGCTTATAGACCATGAGTTAATCATCTCATACCCTTATCTTTGACAAGACAGACTGCGCTTTAGTCTTGCTTTATAAGGCAGATATTCTTTGCTGAACGCTCTCCAATTTTTCAAATGTCTTTGTGAAGTGTAGCTCCTAGAACCAGAACACAGTAATGGTCTCACTAGTGCCACATACAGAGGCGATCTCTTCTCAGTATTCTGTTAAAAAAATCCACCCCTCTCCCCACAGATTCACATGGCGAGCTCATGTTCAGTTGTTTATCTGCAATGACCCCTAAGTCCTTTCCAGAGTCCCTGCTTTCCAGGATACAGTCCCCATCCTGTTGGTATATGGCCTGCACCCCTTTGTCCTAGAAGCCCGATCTTGCATTAGGCTGGATTATAATGCATGCTGTTTGACTGCACCCTGCTTTACTAAGCAATCCAAGTGGTTCTGTCACAGGGACTGGTCCCCTTTGTCATTTACCACCCAACCAATCTTTGTGTGTCTGCAAACTTCCCCAGCAATGATAATTGATAAAGAAATTGAACAGCCCCAGGCCAAGAACACACCCCTGCAGGGACCCACAAGAAACTTCGCACTCATTGCTGATTGTTCGTTAACAACCAATTAGAGAGATCTATCAATTAGCCAGTTTTATTCCATTTAAAATACACCCTCTGGATTTCGTAGAGTGCTTGTTTAATCCAAATGGCATGTGGTGCTAAACCCAAGCATGTTATTACATCCACACAGTTACCTCTATCAACCATACTTGTCATCCTGTCAAAGGGAGATATCAAGTTCATTTGACAAAAGCTATCTCCCGTGAAGCTGTGCTGATTGGCTTTAGTTCCGTTTACTGGGGGAAATCCCGTGTCAGCGGTTCCACTCTGTAGCCCAGGACTGGTGGCAGGCTCCTGTCCCATTTACCCTTCTTAAATACTGGCATGACTGTGGCCAGTCTCAGCAAGTCTCCTCCCATGCTCTCCCAGGAGTTTGAGGCTCTCTCTTCCCCAGCCTGGGATTATTTCTCCCCCACCCAGCCTCTCTGCTCCCTCCCATGTTACCCCAAGAGTTATTCTGTTGCTCCTGCTGTGGCACCAGATGGCTCTGCACTAAGCTCCTGCTGAGCACCATGGTGCAGAGCAGGGTGAAAATGATGGAAGCCTGGGCAGTCCCTGCAAGATCAGAAATAGATGAGGCTGCCCTCTGGGCAGTGGCGACACACTGCTGGGGAGCGTATGTAGAAGGAGGCAAAGTGAAGAGGGTGGGATAGTGGCAACGTCCTGCCTAATTCCAGTCCCTGAGGAACCGGCACAAATGCCATGAAGTACAACACAGGACAATGTAGCGAATGAGGCTGTCCATTGCTTCGCGCCCCTGACACCCTGCCTGGACAGAGCACTAATGCACCCTCCCGGTCAGGATCAAACATGGCCCCACAGCACCGGCAGATGGGGCATGACACAGACAAAACAGGGAAGCTCTTGTGCTACCGAGCAGAGATTAAAGGAAAACCAAAGTGTGACAGGCCACTTGGCTCGCTGCATGGGACAATGCTAACAGAGCTAACCCTGTGGCGCTGAGCCTGCAGTAGGGTGGAAACCAGCACTCAGGCAGGGACAGTGCCTGTCCTTACACTGAGCACACTGCCAGAAACAAACAAGAATACAGTGGGGCTGGTAAAGGGGACCAGCACATGCAAAAATCGAGGCTTCGTCTGCCACCGCACTTAGCAAGGGGGCCACGGGCCCAAGGCACTTGCATTTCATCCAGCACACTTACCCTTCTGGGGAATCTACCTGTTTAAGGCGAGGAGGTGGTGGAGGCTGCCAGAGCCGTTTCTGCCTCATACAGGGAGCTGCTGTTTTACATTTGAGTGGCATGTTCTTGCTGTCAGGACAATGGATGGAAGGCGTGACACTTCCAGCCCTAGCTCACACATAATCTGTGAGCTATTTCGGCACAAGTGCAGCTCTTAATGAGATCTCAAACAATGGGAGGTAGCATCCCTCTGTGGAAAGGCAGCTCTCAGCTTGCCAAAAGGAACCCCACTTGGCCAGGAGAAGGCTCTCTGCCAGGGCAACAGCCCTCAGGTCAGCAGCTGAAAGAGACAAAGCCATGCCCCCTTCCACCACCTTCCTGTACTCCAGGCTGCGCTCAGCAGCATACAGCAGGCACAGGGGGCTCTGGCAGCTCGAAAAGTTACTTTCACAGAGTGCCCATGCGAAAACAGGGCTGACCTCAAAGAAAATGAAGAGGTGTGACTGGTCAGCGACTGTGGAGTTAAGCTGATAAGGAGGGGCTGTTGCAATCCCTTCTCGGACCCACCTCCACGGGCAGACCCGTGCATCACTTCCAACCACCAAGCCCACATGTCATCAAGCAATGACTCACTCTCAGCCCCTATTTGGCAAAGCCCCTCTGTGCAAGATCAGCTGCAGGCTGCGGTATCAAGTAGCCATTAATGGCTTACCCATGTGTGGCACCTATCCCACTCTGCCCCTGCCAGAAGACCTGAGTCCCTGGCGGAGCCTGGCTCCAGGACGGGCACATAGGTGCTGGAACTGGGGGTGCAGCCACACACCCTGGCTTGAAGTGGTTTCCAGCATATACAGGGTTCACAGTTTGGGTCAATGGCTCTCAGCACCCCCACTAGACAAACTGCTCCAGCGCCCTGGGCGGGCATGCTAGGAGCACCTGGCAGGTCGGTGGAGCTCCTAGGTCTTTGCTTCAGAGCGGCTCTGCCTGGCGAGCAAAGGGTTAAGCAATCCTGCCGCTGCTGCAGTCTCTGACGGGACCCCGCCGCCCGGCAGTGCCGGAGCAGGAGTGGAGTAAACAAACGCGCCGAGCAACATGTGGCCTAGCCCGTGCCCCCCGCTCGGCCTCCTTCCCGCAGCTCCCCGCCGGCCGCGCACCGCAGCGGGGTCACCCAAGGGCGCTCGCTCGGGCCGGATCCCGCTGCGGGGACTCTCCGCCCCTGGGCAGGGCGCCGCGAGGGGCTCACTCCCCCGGCACCGCAGGCTGGCTGCGGGAAGCCACGGGCGCCGCGCCCCCACGAGCCTGGCCCCTGGCCAGGGGCTCCGAGCCAGCGAGCCCCGCTCCCGCACTCAGCGGCGAGCCAGCCGGGGACGGGACGATCCTGGGCAGGGCGCGGGGCTCTCACCTGCTCCGGGGCGGGCTCCTCCGGCGCCTTCTCCGCCGCGTCCACCTTGATGAGCCGGTGCTTGGGCGAGCCGTAGCGGGCGTCGGGCGCGAGGCCCCCCGGGCCAGCCCCCGTGTAGGGGTCCTCGAAGTCCCGGTCCCGCTGCAGCTTGTAGGCGGCCAGGATGTCGGGCTGGGCCGCGGCCGGGCAGAGCGGGGCGGCGGGGGCGCCCCCCGGCGGCGGCGGCGGCTGGGGCAGGCCCGCCCGGTAGTCGGGCTTGGGCGGCGCGGGCGGCGCGGGCTTGGCGCTGCGGAAGCCCAGGTGCTCCCGGAGCCAGCGGGCCATGCTGCCCACGCACTGCGGGGCCCCCCGGGTCCGGGTCCGTGTCCGGGCCCGGGCCCGGCGCGCTCCGAGCCGGCCGCGGCTCCGCTCAGCAGCATCGGGACGGGCGGACTGAGAGCGCCGAGGCGGTGGCGGCGGAGCCCGGAGCCCGGCGCCGGCCGGGGAGGGGGAAGAGCGGGGGAGGCGGCCAAGGGGAGGCGGCCAGTGCCACCTGCCGGAGCCGTGGCGCCTGCTGCACCGACCTGCGCTGCGCCCTCGTATCCCGCACAGCCCTTCCTGCGTCCCCAGGCTCCTGCGCCCCCCAGTGCCTCCCGCGCGCTCCTCTGCTGCACCCTTAACACCCCCCCTCTCCTGTGCTCCCACACCCCGGTACTTCCCTGCACGTCCGTACTGTACCCCCAGGCTCACCTGTGCCCCACACTGGTCCCTGCATGCCATACACCCCAGTGCACTCTCCTGCCCCCTCCCCAAGTTTCTGGGTGTGTCCTATCTATACAACACCCATTTCTCACCCTACCACCTCTGACCTATAACCCTCTCGTCCCCGTGTACCCTGCTGTGCCCCATCCTTGCACCCGCCAACACCCGGCTTCTTGTACCCCCCTACATGCTCTGTACTCAAATACTGCTCTGTGTGCCCCCTGCCTGAATCCAAGTACACTGGGCACTCTGGCGCTCCCTCCACATCTCCCCTCAACCCAAAGCACCCCATCTAAACAATGATTGGTGCAGCCCTGGCACAAGGGTCACTGGCTACCCAGGGCCACAAAGGGTCAAGGACAGTGCTAGGGGGTGGGGTGCAATCACTCACAGTGTTAGAAATGCTCCCTCCGCCACAACACCCCTCCCACTGTGTGCCCCATGCAGGGCAGCTGGCACCGGAGCTGCTATCTAAGGGTCCTGGTTCTGGCTGGGCCACTCCTCTGTCCCCTGCCCCGGAGGTGGTCACTGTTACTCCAGGTGCTGTTGCCTTGGGGAGCTGGCAGGGCTGGTGACTCAGACAAGACATGACGCTGTTCCCTAATCCTTGGGAAAACACCTAACTTGCCCAACATGCTGGTGAGTGAGGGACCAAGAATGTAGGTCTCTGAATCACACTCAGTTTTCACTTGGAAGGGCTTCTGTAACTGCTCCAGTGATGCCTACCTGAGTCTGCCAACAGCCTAGCAAGCGCTGTCAGTCACCTTGATGGGTGTTTATTCTGAAACCTAATGATGGACACGTCAACTGAGTTAACTAGCAGTTCGCTGCTGGAACACTACAGCAGAACATGCTTCTCCCACAACCCCAAACAGCCTCCCAGGGCCGCCCCCTGTACCATGCTGCACCTCAATGTATAAATCTGCAACACATTGAAAATGTGGGAGCAGCATCAAAATAATTGGCCTTGCATATCAGATTACACCAGGGAAGTCTCATGACTGCATCAGTCACTTGCATATTTAGTTCGACCACAACGTGCAGCTGTGGACTTGCCCAAAGCTGCATGCCATTTGCTGCTCGGGAGCACCACAGAATATAGACTCCAGGGGTCCCACTACAGAAGTCACATTGGCCACAGAGTACAGGGTCCCTGTCTCTCCTTCAGTTCTAGAATGCAGGAGTTATGGAGCATGCATGCACACGCACACACAGACACACACACACACACACACAATAGCTAACTGCTTTGAAATGGGTTCTGTGGCCACCTGCCAAGGCACACAGTCTTGCGGTGGGGCTCTGCAGAGGCACTGGCTTGCAGCAGAACTCCCTTGGGTGTGCCTCTCCGGAGAGCTGCCTTAAAAGTGCTTCTCGAGACGCAATTGAAAATCAGTTTGATGGCATCCTTCTGCTTGGTGTCTGCAAGAATACCATTGTTTGCCACCAGTGGCACATGGCATCTTCCCACAAGGGAAACCCAGAACTGAAACAGCAGATGTTGCAGAAGATGGGGCATCAGCAGCATTTTAGGGTTGCAAGGGGGGGCTGTGGGGGAGGTTTGAGGGGCATTGGCGGAGCTGAGGGGGAGCCCAGGGCTGGAATAATAGAGGGGGTGTGGATCTGGATTGAGGAGCACTGGCAGAGCTGGATGGATGGGAGCCTAGGGCTGGAGTAGGAGGGCAGGCAATGCATACAGGGCAGAGATTAAAAGAATTGGCTCAGGAGTGAGGCGCTGCTATTACAGACCCTCCAGGGAAACTCCTCCTTTGAGTTTAATAAGTCCCCTTCCCTGGTCACTGTCCCAGTGGAGGAGCTGGACTGAGTAGAGCTATTCCGGGGTAGTTTGCACAGCCAGAGCCCCCTGATTCTCAGGAGAGGGGCTCGCAGCTCGAGTCAGGATCATACTGGAGGTGGCTAGCCCCTCCCACCAGCTGTGCCGCAGCAGCTACGCTTCTATTTTTAGTGTGCCCCCTCGATCAAAGCCAGGGCCGGATTAACTTTTTGTGGGCCCGGTGCCAAACATATTTGTGGGCCTTCATGGGGCAAGGTGCAGGGGGGGTGGGATGGTCGGTCTCCAGAGTGAAGGGCGAGCTGGGGGCAATGAAGCACAGCGCAGCGGGAGCAGCCCCGCTCTGCGCAGCCCAGCAGGAGGGCACGGTTTACAAATCTGCAGTTGCCAGAGGCACACTGGTCTGCCCAGCCCTGTGCTACCAGCAAGCCCCTTCCCCTTGAGGGCAGGCCCGCACCACACCTCCCCTGTGCCCAGTGCCCCACCCTTAGCCCAGTGCCTCCTCGCCCAGAGACCTCCACCACAGATCTCTATGCCCAGCCCCCACCCCTCCCAGAGACCTCCCCCGCTGGCCTCCCACCACAACTGCTCAGCACCCTGCACACCACACCGCTCGCCCAGAGCCCCCCACCCATAGACCTTCCCACCACCTTCCTCACAGTCCCGCCATCACAGCTGCACAACACCCCATATTCCTGAGGGGATTCTGCACCAAAAAATTAAAAATACTGTGCACAATATTTTAAAATTCTGCACATTTTATTTGTCAATAAATAAATGTGGAGGCTCCCCCATGGCAGTGGGGAGCACAGGCCACTGGTTGCATGGAGGTGGGAGATCACCCTGCAGCTTCCCCCAACCTTACCCTGGGACAGGGACTCGGCAGTGAGGCTGCACTCGACCCTGACACAGTGCAAGGGCCAGGCCTGCCCCAGAAACACCCTGGGGCCCTGCCCCCCTATGCCAGGCGCACCAGGTGTGGGTGAGCAGGCTCAGCCCGGGAGCAGGATCCAAGTGCAGAGGGACTTCGTGTGGGGGGGATCCAGGTGGGGGTAAGAGAGTTCTCTGTGGGGCAATCTGGGTGCGGGCAGCTCAGTGGGAGATCTGGATGCACAGAAGCTCATTGCGGGGTTCCAGGTGCAGGGGCAATGGGACTCTGCAGGGGATCCAGGTTAAGGTGTTTGGGGCTCAGTGGGGGGGAGGGGGTCAAGAGGCAGGGGAGGTGGGGTTCATTTGGGTGGGGGTCCAGGTGCAGGTGGTTAGGGCTCAGTGGGGAGGGTGTCTGGGGGGGTCTCATCAGGATCGTACAGATGCAGGGGTGGTGGGGCTTGTCAGGGTGAGGGTTCGATGGGCCCCCTTAACAGGGGAGCCCCAGCTTCTGCCAAGGAGATGCTGCATGCTGGGCTCCAGTGTCCCCCCTGCCCCTGCTTCCCCTATCCCCTGCTCTTCCCCATCCTATGCCCCTTCCCCACTGCTCCATCTCTTCCCCATCCCATCCTCTTCCTTCCCCCCTGCCCGTGCTTCCCCTGTCCCCTTCTCTTCCCCATCCCATGCCCGTTCCCCACCCTCCATCTCCTCCCCATCCCACACCCTTCCTTCCCCACTGCCTCTTTCCCCCAAGCCCCAGCCTGCCCCAGCCCTTCCCCACCATAGGCACTCACTGTTGTACAGAAAACAGGATGGCTCCCAGCACACAGAAGGGGAGCTCAACCAGCACGAGGACCCAGAAAGTGGCATTTTCTGAGCAGCACCCTCTTTCTTTCAGCTGCTTGCAGAAAGCGGGGGAGGCAGTGGCATGTGACTCCATGTGCCCCCATGCCTTGCTTCTGTTCGAGGGCACTGCCCCCCAAACTAAGCTCACGGACGTTCTCAGCTGCCATCCCCATCCCTTTGCTTCTCCGTCACTTTTGAAAGGGAAGCAAAGAAATCTGCAGGGGATCTGTTTTCATTCCCCCAGGAGTACCCCACTACGCAGTGCCCCTTCCCCCCCCACAGACCCTCCAGAGACCCGCTCCCCCACACCCTTCCTGCCACCCAGCCACACTCACTGGCCTGCTGGAAGCGACTACTTGAGCCTGCAGCACTGCTAGGGCCGGTCACGGATCCCTCTGGCCCCTCAGAAGCGGCTCAACCAACCAGGACAGAGCGGGAGCCCGGCCTGCCCCAGCCAGGCTCCCTCAGGACCCACATGCCTGGAGGGGCCTGGCCCAGGCCCAGCCCACCACTCACACCCCAGGGGTTATGTGGGAGAGAGAGGGATGAAGAGGAGTGAGTGGTGGGTGGGGCCTTGCCTGGGCAGAACCCAGGCAGAGCGGGTGGAGAGGTGGGACCAAAGTCCGGACACTGGGGCCACTTCTGAGTGTGGGCCCGGCGCCATGGAGCCACGGTAAACCTGGTACTGATCAAAGCCAGTGGGTATATCTACTTGAGCTGGAAATTACACCTCCACCTTGAAGCCTAACCATACTGGCCTGGTCTGCACTAGAAAATTGAATGAAACTATGTCACTGGGATGTGAAAAATCCACACCCCTGAGTTAATTAAACCAACCTAATCCCTAGTGTAGACAGCGCTAGTCAACAGAAGAGTTCTTCCATCCACCTAGCTACGGTCTCTCAGTGAAGTGCCTTACCTATGCCAATGGGAGAGCCCCTCCTGTCAGCCAAGATACTGTCTACACTGAAGCATTTCAAGAGTAACTAGCCCACCCTGAGACAGACCCAAGAGGTGCAAGGAAACCCCGTGTGCAGGTGACATTGTCACACTGCCACCTTTTGGCCAATTTCACTCAGCCCAGAGGGACTGTATTGACTGCAAAGCAAACTAGACAAGTGCCGCCAAAGCAAGAGACCCTCTGTCAGCCTCCGCTACCCCCATTTGGTCATTTGCTGCCCTTGGAGGCTGATCCCCAGCCCAGGTGTCACTGGCCCCTGTCCTTCACCTGGCAGCAGGTGACCCCTAGTGCAGCACCACATGCCAAGGCTGGATGCAGCTTTTCCTGCTCCCTCTTTACTGAGACATCTTGCAGTGCCTTGCGTTGGAATGCTGTCTCGGTCTCAGTGGCCCTGCCTGCGCAGTGGCTCCCCGGG